CGAGGAATCTGGTTAGGATCAATTTTTGATTGCCCAGTTTGACCCATAGCCATAGATTGAGTAGGAGGTGGAGGCCCACCTGGCGGCATCCCAAACATCGGCTGCTGTTGCATAGCACCAGGAATCGGAGGAGGTGGAACTACCTACATACGTTTCCATGTAACTATAAGAATCCAATCTTGCACATGGCCAATACTTCAAAAGGAAAAGTGGTAATATCACATCACAGAAATACCTGCTGGTTTGGCTGTGATGGCCACGTCTGCATACCGTACGGTGAACCCGAAGGTTGCAGCCCACCTGGAACTGGCGCAGAAAACGCAGAGGATCCTGGAGGAGGCCGCATGTTCTGTGGCGAGCCTGTTGCCCAACAGCAGAAGGCGGTCCTGTGAATGGGGACGATTGTTGCCCCACAGGAGACGGAGATCCACCGGTAGGCGGACCACTATAGCTAGGACGCATTTGAAGCGGCTGGGATGGACGCCCCACAGATGATGGCCTTGGCATCGTACTGCCCATTGCAGGTGGGAACCGGGGCCCGCCCTGTGACATCCCAGGGCCAAATGCAGGAGGCCCATTGGGAGCCCTGGGCGAGGGCCGGGTCTGAAAGGTGAGGGAGCAGTGGGTCCACCGACGGACGGAGGGAATGCGCCAAGTGGTGGGGGCCTCGACCCAACTGGGGGAGGAGGCTGAGATACAGGTGGCGGCGTGCCTGTGGGCCTAGTGGATGTCATGGTGTTTGGAGAGAATGCGGGTTGGGTTGAGGCGCCAGGAGGTGCGGGACCCCTCGGGAATGCGCCAGGTGCAGGCGGGCGGACACAGGTAAATGGCAGGGGCTGTTGACCGAAGGGTGTGCCACTGAGAGGGCGGGGGCCACCGCCCGGCTGCTGCTGACCGGGCGGTTGATTGATTTGCAGATTTTGCATATTGTTGGCGAGTGCGTTTGGGTTGTAATTGGGGGGAAGATCCCCGGCCTAGGTCCACCTGGAGTCGCCATCAGCTCGGCCTAATCGGAAATGTGAAAATAATGGATCAAAAAGGACCGGATCCACACAAGATCACTCCTTCTGTGCTTCTAATCACAATTCAGTCCAACCCTACACAAATCTACAAATGTTTGAGTAGATACAAGAGAAAAGGCATCTTTTTTTACCAAATCAAGCAAATACAAGAAAGGAAAACGCAGAGTGAATCATTTAAAATGCTAATACCTGTGCTACAGTCTGAGATTCCGGTCGTTGCAGGAAGAATGACCGTTTTCTGACCAGAATTCGATCTGACTGTAAAAAATTAGGAGATCACAAACAAAGATCCCTTAAACATCGAATAAATAAACACATCAAGATAAACAATATCACATCACATTGACAGGAGAATTAGAAGATGAACTTGAGGTACCTCGGAATTCAGATTTTCCTCGGAGGGGTTTAGAGCTGATTAAATAAATATTTACGGATCGAGGTGAGAGAGAGGTGTGGAGAGCGATGTATGAGAAAGAACACAGAGATGAACCTGGAAATTGGTCACAAAACAATTTGTGCAAAT